GGCTAGAACAATCCTCTATCTGTTGCTAGTAATTTCCCATATCAGGTTCTTTTAAAGGCTGGGTTCATCATCCCGTTTATTTAAAATACCTCCACAGCAGAACTTTGCTTTAAGCAAATCCAGGGTTCATCCTAAACCCTGACTTCAAGATCGCCCTCACCTCAGATTCATATGTCGCCCTAGTGCCGTGGCATCACAGCTTATAGCAACCTCAAACTCTTGGGCTTAAACGATTCTCTTGCCTCAGCCTCCCAAGTAGCTGGGATTATAGGCACCTGCCACAACGCCTGGCTATTTTTCGGTCATAGTTGTCATTGTTGTTTGGCAGGCCTGGGCTGGGTTCAAACCTGCCAGCTCTGGTGTATGTGGCTGGTGCTCTAGCCACTGAAATACAGGCACTGAGCCTAGACTGCACCATTTGATAATCAGGTTGGATGGCTGCAGATTGACGTCAAGCAGATAAGTCCTTTGACTTTCCTGGCACACACTTTCCACTGCCTCCAGTGTATACTTTGTGGGCGGCCCTATGGGTGGGTGCTGGGGGGAAATTCAACTCCCTGCAATAAACAGAAACAGGCAAAAGTCTGCCGGATGCTGCAGGCCTGCCATACTGACTTACAATGTTCCTTGTGCTCCAGGTGCTGCTGTTTCTTTAAGAGGAAAAGGAAGAAGACTGCTCAGCGCCACAAGTGACCAGTGCCTCCCAGAAGTCCTCAGGCTCTGGGGACTCTGACTCAATTATACCTGCAGCTCCTGCCATTTCTCATTGGAAGGGACTCCTCTTTGGGGGAGGGTAGAGATCCAAACCAAAAAGAAGAATTATTAGACACCCCTGGAAGGAACCAGTGTTGGCAGCCAGAGCCCAATGGGTCAGTGGCCATTCCTGCCTGCCTAAGGCTCTGAGCGGGTCCCAGAGCTGCTGTTCCTCCACTGCTTGCCCTTGGGGCTGCCTGGTTGACTCTCCTTCCCATTGTTTACAGTGAAAGTGTCATTCACAAAAAACTCAAGGACTACTATTCTCTTCCCTCCTCTCAGTTTACTCCTGGTTCTTGCTCCACCCACAACCCTCTGCAGCATAAAAGCTAGTGAGCTAAAGGCTTTGTCTGTGAAAGGAGCTCAAGAGGCTGGGGGTGAGGCCAAGAAGGTAGGAGGAAGATGGCAGACCTGGGCTGGAGAAGAACCTTCACCTCCCAGTATCTCTGAAAGTATGGTTTCCTCTTCCTCTGTGCCTATGCAGTGTCCATCCCAGCTGGCCATGGGGTTCAGTTTCCTCCCTCCCTCCCTCCCTCCCATGAAGTTACACTGTAGGACACAAGCTGTGAGAAATCTGCAGTCTACTGTCCCCGTGTGTTGGTATTCTTAGCTTTCTTGACAAGTGAACTCTTTCTCCAGGTGATAGTAGGACAATGCACATTGTTCTGAGCAAAGGAAAGAAAACTGACTTTATTGCACTTTTAGTTTGTTTGTTTTTTGTTTTGTTTTTTTTTTTCAAAAAAAAAAAAAACATGGCAGATGCATATTGTGTCTGATTATATTAGGGGTTTTATCTTTTTCTGTTTTGAGGGATATGGGGCCAGCCAAGCCATTCAGAGAAAACATGGGTCCAGAGGACATTCTCAGCGGAAAACATTTGATGTACAGCACCCAGAAGAGAAGAAGCCAAACTCCATGTCATTCTGAGTGAACACTCAGGTTGACAAGAAAGCATACTTGAATTTTCATTCATCTTCTCAGCTGCTGGAGAATGTTCCTACAAAAACAGCTTGACCTAATCAGCCTACAGTTTGAAATCCTAGCTCTCCAGCACATGGGATGGGCCAGCCAAGCCAGACTGTGACCAGGAAACAGCTCATCCCAGAGGAAGAGATGCTTAACAAAATAATTCAAAATTATTTTCTCCACTGCCAGGATTTCCAACTAGATAGCCATGTGACTTCCTGGTGACTTGGGGGATAAAATTAGTGGTGATGAAACAGCTATCACCATATTGCCACTAGTAGACAAAAAAGAAGAGGACAGTGAATCTGCCTTCCAACTCCCAGAGGAGCCTCAGGATATGGCATCATAGGGCCAGGAAAAGAAAATCAGTGTGTTCTGTCTGCCCCAATAGCTAAGTTGTAGCATTTGGGCTGGCCTGCCTCGGCATAAACCAAGCTTAGGAAGATCTCAACAGGTTCACAGCAGCAGGCTTAGGACTCAGTACATGGGGCTACAGTGAGCAGGAGGGTAACACTGGTTGGTGCTGGAAAATTCCAGGGAAAATGGAGACTGAAATGAAAGGTCTAAAATTGTTTTCTCAATTGGACATAGACTCCTTCCAAACAACAATGGCCATGCACCTAAGCATGTCCTCCCCTGTCAGCCCTCTGTCTCCCACTGTGGTGGATCCATATAAGGTACTATGATGAAGGGTCTTAGCTCTTCATTCACTGTTTGAAAAGCCAATAGTATGTGGAATTACCTCTTCTCATGCTTTCTTTTTGAGTTTAGTAGCTTATCCAAACAGCAACTCGTCATTCTAAATGTGACAGAAGAGAGGGTATTATTTACATCAGGGAAAGTGGGTGTTCATTTATCTGGGGGTAGAGCACTAAGCATGGAGGACCATGGCTAGTCCCTTAGTTTGATGATTTGTGGAGCACAGAAATCTTCACATCCAACTTGAGGTGTAAGGCTGTCTTTTGGACTGGAGGATGGGGGAATATTTTCTGGTTGTGGGCATTTCCTCACAAGTCCTTTGATATTCCTTACTCAGAGCAGAAGTAGCAGCATTAGCATGAATCATAGTTACTGGGGTTCACCTGTCACACTGGAGCTTGGCTCAAGAATATCACTTCACTGGATTCAAGCCTGCTTAGCTTATGTAAAGATTGTAGTCTGTCATTTCTTAAAAAAAAAAATGTTTATGTACAATATGAAACATGGAGTGGCAGGAAGATGCATTGTCACACCCCTTCCCCACAAGGATTTTGAATATTGGGGTTTGTGTCCTTGCCATTACCCGATGGTTAAAGGCCCATCACTGAAATCTTAGTTCTTTAATTGGCATTTGGGTAACTCTTAACCTCCTTTATAGAAATTAAATTCATCATCCCTGTATAGAAGATGCCTTACTTGTCAAGAGAGGGCAGGGGGAAATGGCAGCAAAGCCTGGATCCTGGCACTCTATACCTAAGTGCCTCCCCCATCCTGCCACCTTGCTTCTACAAAAATGCAAAGACAGTGACCAGCTTCACTGCAGAGCAAGCCAGCTTACATCTGGGTTTGTGACTTGTTTTTGTTATGAGATTTTTAAAAGGCTTGCTTTTGATGGGTTGAACCTGAGCAGCTGTGGGAAAAAGGTCCTTCCTAATACATTTCCCTCACCCTCCATTCCCCACAAACCTGTCACTAGATATTTGGTTTTCACAACAAACACGAAGAGCTCCAGGTCCCATTAGCATTCAGGGTAATAGTGATCCTTCCAGGGCCATTGACATTCCAGAGTGGTCCCAGACTTGGGAGATTCTGTTGTGATCTTCCTTAAAATTAAAAATCAAAAAATTGAGTTCCCCAGAAGTAATTCGGCCATTAGTTTCAGCCCCATCAGCATATCAGGGCTTTTTCCTTTGCCCTCTTGCTGCCCTCTGTTGCTTAGCTGTATGCCTCAGCCAGCTCCTTAGAGATAGGCACTCCCTCCATCACCCACGCCCCTGCCCAGTCCACTTGCTCTGTAGTCTTTGAGCTTTCTCTATTTTGTAGCTATGATGCCTGAGGGTCTTTTATTTGGGGATTAATGAAGTTGTCTCTTCATAAAGCTAATTCAGCATCTGCTTATAAAAAAAGACCTTAACAACATACCATTACGAGTTCTCCCAAGTTATCCAGCCCTTCAGGCTTTGCATCTTGAGCAGATTGAAGCAAGCAGACTGAGATTCCATCAAGGCATAAAGGGTACCTCCCTCATTGTAACCAGAACATGATTTAATGACTTTTGTCTGTTCTAGCTTAGACTGTACTGCAGTCAAAGCATGTAAAAATTGATAAATTGCTCCATGGACCCTGGTCCAGAGATCTTACTCCAGACTGCTCTGCAAGGGTGCACAGAGCATCCCAACAGCGAATATGCGTTCATGACTGCCTTAATTAACATTCTTCTACTATTTGGGGTCTGTCTAGGAGTAAACAGGGTCAAGGAAGGTATAGGTGGGTGACTAGGTTGGCCTCCAGTTAAAGTTCTATTTTATTTATTTTGGAATGCATGAGCTCCTGGAGATAGCAGGGACCCTGAGGGTTCTTGTATAAGTGTTGATTGCCTGTTTATTCTCAGAAAACTCCAAGTACATAGAAAGATCTCTGCCCATTAGCCAGAAGAGGTGTCCAATACCTCTAAAGAACTTCCAACTTAATGAAATCTTCACTGATAAAAGAATCTACACTAATAGTGCTTATTCAGTGTTGAATTTTCAGTGTTAGTAACTACTTTTAAGTGCCAGAAATAATAATGGTAATGTTATGTCAAAGTGGTTACTAAAGATCAGAGCCTTAATTGTGTTTTTAAATGTAAAAGATAAAAGTCCATTCTTTCTCCCAGTGAACAAGGATGGCCTGCATTTCTCAAAAATAAGAACTTTATGGCAGCCTAAAAACCATCTCCTCAAATTTTATCTTTCTTCTGATGCATCTCTTCCCAAGCCCATGTGACACCTCCTGTGTCCCAGCCACCTTTTCCATTTTAATATTTTAACCAGTTTTCCATTCCTATTGAGTTGCCATGACAATATTATCTATAGTGTCAGAACTACATTAGGGCTAGTTTCTCAGATTGGGAGCTTCCGGCACCATACAGCCAATATTACCATCTTCACTGTTCCCCTATGGTGGGCAATTGAATTTCAGAAATCCTCAGGGAGCCAGGATAAGTAGGCACCCCTTCTAAGATTGGCCACATGGGTGACAGGCACTTATCTTTGAGGTTCCTGCTTTTTCAGAGTCCACCGAAGTTTCATGTAGTGGTTAGTGGCCAGTGACTCCCACAGTGGGATCTCTTTGGGGAGTTTTGGGGTGTGTGTGACAGATTTTGTTTCTGAATAAAAAGAAGAGGCAACCATGGCCCTTCTATGGGTTTGTCAAATGTGGAACAGTGTTTTGGCCACAAAAAGGAATCTTGAAAGTCATCCAGTGAACAGTCTTAATATGTTTTCCTAACTCCGTCTGCAGGTGATTAAGTGTAAAAGAATAAATTTCTCAATGTATTCAAAATAGTAAGTAGGTTCCTTGGATATACACAGTAGTAGTTGACATATTTTTCTCAAAAAGCAACCAGGAAACCCACTCCAGTATTTGTAAATCCTTTTATAAAGCAAAAAGTGAACATGTACTCCATACATTTCTAGTTTGATTACCAAACGATGTTATAAAGAAACCTCAATTCTATGGATGGAATTTGTTATTTTTCTTCTATTACTAACAATCACTTTTCTGGTGCCATCACCACCTTCAAGGTTTCATAGCAGAGGATTATTCATGGTAATAAATGAGTGTGCAGTGCACAGGAGGACAACTATCCTGACAGTCCCCAACCCCTCTTTAACAGCAGGTGTGACATTTTCACTGTTCCCCTTCATGAGCTCAAGACCAAATCCTAGGCCAGCCCTTGCACTGAAACCCTTTTTAGAAGGCTTATCAATCTACTAGGAATGTCTCAGGAAAGATGAGCCATTTCTTTGGGGAGAAGTATATTTACAGATGGGGGTGTGTGATTGCCTGTGTGTGCCTGT